GCAAAGTGCTGCTTGGAGCTGCTGGAGGGTGTTGTGGATGAGGACGTGCCTGCGAAGGCTGGGTGCTCGGGGGCCCAGGCTTCGCTGGACTTTGTCTAGGGAGATGCGGAGCAGGGCTTGCTGGTAGCTCCGCAGGCCTGCCGGACTCCAATCCCACTTCTCATCCTCTTCTTCTTCCTCCAGATCTGAGTGCTTCCTCTTCAAGCCTCCTACCATGATGCCCTAGGGAGAGAAGAGGGGCAAATAAGACACAGCAGGGCTAATTCAAATCCCGAATCTCTAGTATGACTGTTGTTGATTTGTAATGATCCAAACTTCAGTTTCTGCATCTAAAAATGAAGTTGGTATGAGTCCCACAAGGCTAAGAAGAGTCAATGTATGTGATTAAGAAAATTAGATCCCCCCCCCAAAAAAGAAAATTCGATCCCAGGACTTCCCTGGTGGTCCAGTGGCTAAGACTTCACATTCCCAATGTAGGGGGCCCAGGTTTGATCCCTGGTCAGGCAACTACATCCCAATGCCACAACTAAAAGTTTGCATGCCGCAAGGAAGACAGAAGATCCACATGCTTCAACCAAGACCCAGTGCAGCCAAATAAACAGATAAAAAAACACAAAAAAACAAACCCCGCCAAAATCTGGACTTAAATACAGCTGGGTTTGAATCCCACTTACTTGCCCATGTTGCCTCAGTGAGTTTAACTCCTTGAGACTCAAATTTCCTCATCTGCAAGATGAGGATCCTAACTCAAGTCCCCCTAAATCTTAAAGCTGTTCTTTCCACAATACTCTTTTCTTCAAGTGTGACAGATACAAGACAGGTGCTGAGCACAAAGATATTGCCTTGAAGCAGAGAATCCTGGGTTTGAATTCTGCTTTTTCACACTGCTCAGTTGTGTGATCTTGGGAAGTAATGTGACATCACGCACTTTAAGGCACCTATCTGTGAAGACACTTCTTTCACATGGAAGATATTTCTGTCCATGCCCTCATCCTAACTGACTGGGAGCGCGCCCAACGACAAGGTACGGGGCCTCCGTCATTCCCTCTGTTGAGGCCTTCAGGTTCCCCCTGGGCGAGCCTCAGGAAAACTTGCTAAAACTGACTCACGCCAAGCCCCGCCCCCACCAGTCCATCCAACCAGATCTCGGCCCTCTACAGGCCCCGCCCCCTTCACGGTTCCCCTTTCAGCCTTCAGACACGCCCCAATTTGGCCCAGGGGCTTCTGGGAAATGTGGGCCAATAGCCACCAGGTACACGAACTGACGTAGAGCAAGCACTACAACCCCCGGAGGGCTCCGCACGCGGCAGGGACTAGCCTTCCCCGCCTACCCCCCCGGGGCATGCGCGCAGGGGCCCAGGGTACGTGGGGGAAGGGAACCCGGACGTCCAGCTGCCTGGCGATTGCCAAGCCCCGCCCTCCGCTGCCTCCTGGGCTGCGGGTCTGAGCTCCACGCCCTGAACACCCCTCCCCCACTCCAGACTTTGGCTCTAAAACTGCTTTCTCCCGGCCCTTAGGAACCGCAGAAGGTCCTGAATTCTTCGCTCAGGCTGCTCTCGGGCCCAGAGACCCAGGTCCCCAGCACGACGCTCAAAGACTTATAAATGCGCTCCGATTCACTCCGTTCGGGACACTAAGTATCTCAGTTACTAGACCGTCTCCCGTCAACGTTCCTCTATTCTCCCGTCTTTTCGACTTCACCTCCAGTCTCCCACTGTGACTTCCAAGACCCGTCAGGGAACTCTCCCCAGAGCCCGCTCTCCTACACTGCGTCTGGGAGATCCAGAGTCCTTGCCCCTACTTTTCTCGCTTCTCCAAATGTCCAGGATCCCAGCCCAACCCATCACACCTTTCCCTAAACACTAGAGTCCCGAATTCAACCTGTCCCAGAGACCCGAACTGTCCTAATTTTTAGTTTCCTACCCCCAAATTTCCTTCTCTAGTTTTCTCGCTTCTCCAAACACCCTATGTCCCAGCTTCAAACTTCCTACACTTGAAGATTTTGCCCCCCACCCCCAAAACTCTGTCTTCCGTGCAAAGATCTCGAAACCCCAGTCCCTAAACCCTCTCTCCAACCCCTATTATCATCCTGAATCTGCGCCCCCTACTCTCGCTCATACCCCGCCTCCACAACTCTCGAGGGAGCGCCTCCACCTCCCTCAACTCAAGGCAGATCCCAGAGCTAGGTAGCCACACCTCACCTCAGCTGCCAGGTTCGCAACAACCACCTCCGGGAACGCCCGCGGCTTAGCGACCCTCCAGCGTTGGGTAGGGGCCCCGTTCACCTCCCCCGGGCCTCTCACCCTGGTCTCAGGCCCACCCAGCTCCGCCCGGGAGCCGAGCCGCGAGTCACGATTGGCTGGAGTCCTGCCGGCCGCGGGGCGCGGATTGGCTGGGCGGGGCCACCCGCTTGTCGCCAGGAGACGCCCCACCCGCCCTCCCCTCCCTTGCTTCGCGGACCAATTAAAGGATTTCGACTAGCCTGCCGGGGCCACGTCTCTACAGAGTGGAGGGCACATCAACGCTCTTTCCTTTAACTTAGTTACTATCTTCACTCCAAGATTGTCATCTTTGCTCTCTGCGATCCTTTTATACTAGGCCAGGACCGCGTTGCAAAGCAAGAACTGGCTGGCACTCTTCACTCCACCCCGCTTTCGGGGCGGGAGGGGCTGAACCTCTCGCTGAGGCCGCGCCCATTGGATTCAGAGGGCGGACACAGCGGGGAGGATGACGCATTGAAGATCAGCCAATAGTTTGGCGCGACCTATGTTGCCAGGGCGACCGCAGCCCCGCCGCTCGCCTCCCCTGTCCTGCCCCTCACATTTTAACCGAAGCCTTCTTCTTATAAGGACTTCTCCGGCCTGTCTTCTGGTGCTTCCTCGTGCGTCTTCCTAATGCCCCGTCTTTCCGCTCTCAGGGTGGCACGTCTGCTGCTGGAGACTGGTTTATGGCTTCCCACTGTCATGGGGACAAAGTTCAATCTCATTTTTGTCTCAAAGCTCTTCAGGTCTGGCCAGATACAATCTCCTGCTTGCTCGCTAAAATCCTGCCACACCCTTTGACTTTCTGTATTTCTAAAATGGCTTCAAGTGCACTCCACCACCAAGAACACAGAAATTCTGTTTTCTTCCCTGCTTTATCCTCAGCGCCTACAACAATCCCAGATACATAGCAAGTACACAAAATTGGAAGGTACTCAAAATTGGAAGGGGAAAGAAAAGGCCTCTGGATCTTTAAACTTGCATCCCTATCCTGAAAACACACCCTCATTCCCCAGAACCCAAAATTCTCATTGGAAACTCATTCCAAAGGATTCCTTCTCTCGGAAGCCCCCCTTGAAGCTCCAGGATGAGTTGGGGCCCTTTTTGGGCTCCCATGGTGTCCTGTGTTTTCCCCATCCCGGCTCCGAGTCTTCTGCCCCTGCCACTGCATCTTGGCCCTGGGCTGTCACTATCTAGACTGTGGACCCTCTGACGACATATACCAAGGTTATCTCAGGCTCCCACTGCTTGGGCCACAGCATCACCTCCCACAAGGCTGGACACAAAGCAGGTATCCAGTGAAAGTTTGTAAAATGCCCAAACAATGTGATTGAAAGAAATAAGAGGGCAGAAATATAACAGTGGTAGTGCCGGGAAAGCCTGAACCAGCCTTGTCCCACCCCTACACGCTCTCACCAAGGGAAGAAGGCAATTTTCTCCAGGCCACCCCTGGGAAGGAAGGTGTAAGTTTCCTCAGGCTAGTTCTCTCCGGCTGGAATTTGTTAACCAAGTTGTTCACCTGTTTGCAGAAGTGCAGGATTGGAATGGATTGAGGGTGGGGTATGGACGGGAGAGAGATTTGGGAGTTAGGTGGGAAGAGGCTGGAGGTAGGGAGAGAGGAATGTCTTGCTCAGGCTTGGGAGAGGTGTCTCTGGGGAACAAAGGTTGGGGAGAGTAGATTCCAAAGAGGGACATGTTTAGGAAAGGGGGGCAATTCTTCCCCTTCCTCCTCTCAAACTTGCCCCTCCAGGGTTCCCTTCACAGGGTGACACTAGAACCCCATCTCCAGGATATAGCCCCAGGCTTCTTCCTAGATGCCTCCTTCCCCTCACCAGAGAACTGTCCACTCAAGACTCTCTCCCACCCACTCTCCCTTCTCTACCTCTGGGCACCTGGGTTCCCAGCCTCTGCTCTTTCATCCTCTGATCCATCGTCACATAGTTGCCAAGGGAAGCTTTATAAAATACAAATCTGACTGTGCCCCCTCCCTGTGTCTCCCCTGCTCCACTCCTTGCACAACACCTTAGACTGAAGTTTAGACTTTTTACAATGATTCCGAACAGTTTCGTGTCCTTTGAACAGGCTCTCTTGGGGCTGATTGTTCTTCTCCTCCAAGCGAAAGTGAAAGTGTCTGTCACTCGGTGGTGTCCAATTCTTTGCAACCCCATGGACTGTAGCTCACCAGGCTCCTCTGTCCATGGGATTCTCCAGGCAATACCGGAGCGGGTTTCCCTTCTCCAGGGGATCTTCCCAACCCAGGGATGGAACCTGCATTGCAGGTGAATTTTTTATCGTCTGAGCCACCAGGGAAGCCCTCTCCTCCAAGCAAAGTGTTATTAACTGTAGGGGATAGATTTGAGTTCTTCAAAGGCGCCAGTCACCTGGCTCAAGTGGTATCTTCTGCCTAGAATGTCATAATGTCTTAGAACCCTCTCCCGGCTCATTCTCACTAAATCAGGTTTCAGGTGGGACATCTGCTCTTCCACAGAACCCTGTCTGCACCTCAAGCTGGGTCCCTCAGCCCTCTGTGCTTCCTCCATCAGAGTTCTGGCCACTGTGTTGTCACTGGCAGGGGCAGGACTGTCTTCCCCCCTGGACTGTGAGATCTATGAGGGCAGTGTCACTGCTAGGTCCACACAGTCACCCCTGGGTCCCTGGCACAGAACCAAGAGAGGAAGTGAATGAATGAATACCCAGAAAAGTCTCACAGAGGCAGACAGAGACACTGGGACACTCAGATAGATGTGGATCCTCTAGAGTAATTTGAAGCTCTTGGCTCTAGATTTATTGCCCCCTTCCTTTTTCTCTGTTTCACAGGATGCTGTCCTCCCGGACAGGGCCAGAGCCCTATTCATACACATGGGAGGGGTAGGTGCTGTGCCCATCGTACTCATCGGTGGTGAGGCAGCGCAGCATGAAGTGACCCAGGTCGTGTTTGGAGATGACCCTCGAGGGCCCTCGTCCATCCAGGGTCACTGTGTAGGCCCCAGTCAACGGGTGGTCTCCTGCAAGGTAAAGACAGAGGGGCTGGTTAAAGCAGATGACCTTTCCTCTCCCCCAACTTGTGATCATGCCAGTGATATCCCAGGGTATCTACAGAGTGCCTAGTCCAGATGGTAGAAGATGGTATAAGAGCTGGGTTTCCCTGGTTGTCCGGTGGTTCAGAATCTGCTTGTCAATGCAGGGGACTCGGGTTCAATCCCTGGTCCAGGAAGATCCCACACATCTCAGAGCTACTAAGCCTGTGGGAACAACTACAGAGCCCAAAAGCCTAGAGCCCATGCTCCACAACAAGAGAAGCCACTGCAATGAGAAGCAGAAGCACCGAAGAGTACCTCCTGCTTGCTGCAACTAGAGAAAGCCAGGTCACAGAAAGGAAAACCCAGAGCAACCAAATAAATAAATTGGAAAAAAAAAGAAAAAGAGGAAAGAAACATGCACTGTCACCCATGTGGCATTCCTGGCAAAAATATTTAATCTGAGCCTGTAAGACAGGAATTTCTGTAATGACAGAAATCCAGAATGTGGAATATTTTAAAAGATATCTGGGACAACAAAATCCTACTATTTAGCACAGGGAACTATATTCAATGTCCTGGGATAAGCCATAATAGAAAATAATATTAAAAAGAATGGATTCAAGAGGGAGGGGACATATTCACACCTATGGCTAATTCATGTTGATGTACGGCAGAAGTCAAACCAATATTGAGAAGCAATTATCCTTCAATTAAAAATAAATTTAAAAATAAAAGAATGGATATATATGTAAAAAGAAAAGACACCTTGCCCGTTATGTTTCATGTTAAAAAATAATTATAAAAAAATGATATGGAGGATTGTTCTAGATTGAAGGTGACATGCCAGCTAAACACAACACATGATCCTGGATTGGATCCTGATTTTGAGGGGAGGGGAAGGTTGGGAGATATTTTTTGGCAGTTGGGTATGTCTGAGTACGGAGTGGATACTAAATGATGTGATAGAGTAAATGTCAATTCCCTTAGTGCAATAACCATACTGGGGTTTGTTTCCAAATACTTCTTCTTGGAAAGATGCCTACCAAGAGGTTCTAGGAGTAGAGTGTGCCAAAGTAGACACACACATTTTAAAAAATGTATGTATATACACTACATATATATTCACATAATCACACATGTACCTTGTGTGCTAAGTTGTTTAAGTCGTGTCCAATTCTTTGCAGCCCCATGGATTGTAGCCCAGACTCCTCTGCCCATGGGATTCTCCAGGCAAGAATGCTGGAGTGTGTTGCCATACCCTCTTTCAGGGGAATCTTCCCAACCCAGGTGTCAAACTCATGTCTCTACATCTGCCTGCATTGGCAGGTGGATTCTTTATGACTGGCGTCACCTGGGAAGCCCCTACACATGTATTCACACAAATACACATACACATTAGCTGCACGCATAAATGATAAATAGATAGATGGGGAAAAGAAACAAGCCAAAATGTTAACAAGTGAACCCAGATGAAGGGTTTATAGGTAATTCTTAAACCTTGAATTTTTTTAACTTTTCTGGAGGTTTCAAAGTTTTCATACTCACACAAAAAAAGAACTAAAAAAAATCCCCACAACTTCATGTTAAATAATTTTTAGGCTTAATCTCTCTGAATATTCACTTTAAACCTGGGAGGTCAAGAAGTAATACGAGCCCTGTTTCGAGATGAGGAAACTGAGGCTCAGAGGTCACAGGCCTGAAGTCTACACAGCGCTGGGGCTGGAGCTTTCCTTGGCTTCTCCACCATGCAGCCTCACCGCTGATTCACAGCTCAGGATTCTCATCCCAACAGGGTCCCTGAACTGAACCTCAGCATCGAAGCTTACCTGAACCTCTGGAGGGTGGTATACAAGCCACCTCCTCCTCCAGGCAGAAGGCACAGGGCACAGAACTGCTCCTCCAGCAGGCAGGCACAGAGGAAGGAGATAACAGCTCCCGACTCAGGCCTGGGCACTGCTGTTCCCTCATCCCAGAATGTCCTCCCTTCCCCCAGACACTCACCTGGTTCCCTCCCTCAGGGCACGAAGCCGTGTCCTTAGAAAGCCTCTGCTCTAAGCAGCACCCCATCACTCTCTTCCTGAACTATTAACGTATGTTTCTTCATTCAGCATAGCACCACCCATCTATCTTTCGTTTGGGCTTCCCTGGTGGCTCAGATGGTAAAGAATCTGCTTGCAATGCAGGAGACCTGGGTTCAGTCCTGGGGTTGAGAAGATCCCCTGAAGAAGGGAAGGGCTACCCACTCCAGTATTCTTGCCTGGAGAAGTCAATGGACAGAGAAGCCTGGTGGGCTACAGTCCATGGGTTCCAAAGACTTGGACATGACTGAGCGACTATTAACTTGCTCTTTCACATCTTTCTTTTGTCTCTCCCACTAGAAATGTAAGCCTTGTGAGATCAGAGACTATGTCAGTGATACTTGTTTTATTTTTTTGGCCTCATCACGCAGCTTGTGGGATCTCTGTTTCCCAACCAGGGATCAAACTCTGGGCCCTGGGTAGTCAAAGCCAGTGAAAGCTTGGAGTCCTAACCACTGAACTCCCCGAGAATTCCCATTGGTACTTGTAATGGTGGCCAGGTGCACACCTCCTGTGCAAGAGACATTTGTAAGTGAACAAATCTCTCCCTCTGACTTCGGGTCTCTCAATGTGAATAACAGACCAGGGAGGGGTAAAGAGGGTGTGGTTCCCTTCACAGCACCACCTGGAGGCAAGGCATCTTCCCTGGTATTAGTTCATTTGACAGATATTTACTGAGCACTTATTACAAACCAATGGCTCAGCGGAAAAGAATCCGCCTGCAATGCCAGAAACGCAGGAGATGTTGGTTCAACCCCTGGGTTGGAAAGATCCCCTGGAGGAGAGCATGGCAACCCACTCCAGTATTCTTGACTGGAGAATCTCATGGACAGAGGAGACTGGCGGGCTACAGTCCATGGGGTCTGAGCCAAGAGTAGGACAGGACTGAGCCAAGAGTAGGACAGGACTGAGCGACTGAGCATGCACATTGTTTTACAATGTGTGTGCCAAGCCCTTTCTAGGCCCTAGGAGCACAGCAGTAATCAAAACAAGACAAAATCCGTGCCTTCAAACAAAGCTTCATACTTCACAATTCTAGTGAGGGAGACACACACTAAATAAGATTAAAAAACAAGGGAATTCCCTGGTGGTCCAGGGTGACCACTTCGCACTTCCACTGCAGAGGGCAGAGGTTTGATATCTGGTAGAGGCTCAAACAGTAAAGAATCTGCCTGCAATGCAGGAGACCTGGTTTTGATCCCTGGATCAGGAAGACCCCCTGGAGAAGGGAATGACCACCCACTCCAGCATTCCTGCCTGGAGAATTCCACAGACAGGAGAGCCTGGCAGGCTACAGTCCATGGGGTCGCAGAGTCGGACATGACTGAGCATTAATAATTTCTTTCACTTTCAGAGTAACTAAGATCCCACAAGACGTGCAGCAGAGCCAAATTAATACATGGGTTTTAAGAAGAAAGAATGGATGTGAAGCATAACTTCCCGTCTCTTGAATGTGGGGCAGCCTCAGTATAACTTCCTTCTAATAAAGAGAGTACAGTGGAAGAAGTCCTGAGAGATTGCAATTTCAACAAACCTAGACAGCGTATTAAAAAGCAGAGACATCAGTTTGTCTACAAAGCTGTATAGTCAAATCTATGGTTTTATCAGTAGTCATGTACAGATGTGAGAGTTGGACCTTAAAGAAGGCTGAGCGCCAAAGAATTGATTGATGCTTTTGAACTCTGGTGTTGGAGAAGACTCTTGAGAGTCTCTTGGACTGCAAGGAGATCAAACTAGTCAATTCTAAAGGAAATCAGCCCTGAATATTCACTAGAAGGACTGAGGCTGAAGGTGAAGCTCCAATACTTTGGCCACCTGATGTGAAGAGCCGACTCATGGAAAAGACCCTGATGCTGGGAAAGATTGCAGGCTGGAGGAGAAGGGATGAGGAGGAGATGGTTGGATAACATCACATGAGCTTGAACAAATGAATTTGAAGGACAGGGAAGCCTGGTGTGCTGCAGTACATGGGGTCACAACTGAGCGACTGAACAACAGGGAAGGCCCAGCGAATGTCCCCAGAGGACTGGAGGGGGCAGGCTGGTGTTGACCCTGCAGTTGGCTCTCTGTCCACTCACCTATATGTGGTGGCATCACGGCCACGTACTTCAGGCCCGACTGCTGCAGTACCTTGTGCATCCGGACATGGTCATCAGTCACATCCTGCAGTCTTGGGGGCACCTTGGAAGGGTCCCACAGTAGGAAGGCTGCGGGGACACAGGGCAAGATCAGACTAGACTTGAGGACAGCCTAGCCAGGCCCATACCCCGCAGGTCTCCTGCCAGAACATCTCCCTGCAGGAACTCATTACTGCCCTTCAGTTGTTACAGGCTTCTCACCCCACCTGCTCCTGTCCGCTGTTACCTCCTGCCTAGACCATGGCAGAGCCTCCTCCCTGTTCTCCTGACCCTGCCCCTGCACATCTGGGACCCTACCCCGACCCCACCTCACTCAGAGAGAGAGCAGAGGCCCCATCAGGGCCCCAGGGCCCCACTTGATCTGATAGCATCAGCCCCCTGGCCTCACCGCCCAACACTCTCCCCTTCACTCGCTCTTTTGCAGCCATGCCCTGCCTCACAGTCCCTTCCTCTCCTCACTCCCGCCTCCTGCCGTCTCCCTTCCCTGGGAGACAACAGGTATGATGCGACAGAGGTGAGGAGTGTGGGCGATAGAGACAGACAGCCTGGCTCCACACCCCAGCTCTGCCAGCTACAGGCTGTGTGATCTCGGGTAAGATGATGGGCCTCTCTGGGCCTCCACCCCCTTGACTATAGACGGGAGGCGGTAAGAACAGCTGCAATTCACTGAGCACCTACGATGTGCCGCCATGAATGGAAGCACTATCAAAGGAATTCTGAGAGGATTAAGTGGCATTTGTCTGTAAGGTGCTCAGATGGTGCCAAGCACAGAGTAAGTGCTCAACAAACACTGCTAGCATTAACTGCTCCTGTTACACACCCTGCAGCATTCTTTTCAGATTATTCAGGAAGGGCATCTCTTCGTAAATTGGGAGCTCTTTGAGAGTAAAGACCTGGCCCATGTATCCAAGGCTCTGTCACTTCCTCTTCCATGCTCTCCCTGACCCCTTCTTAGGCTGGTCAGACACCTCCTCTGAACCCCCAGCGTCCTCTAGGCTTCCCCCATCCCAGCTCTGATCCCTTTCCCCATGCTCCCCCCAGGTCCTGGCCTTGACCCCTCTGCCTGTGCCCCGCCCCCCATCCTGGCCCTGACTATTCTGTCCTGTCGCAGTTTGATGATCACACTGTTACCACTTCCCTTCTATTCATGAGACCCATGAGTGCAGGGCCCAGGTACCATTCAGCAAGGTTCAGATGCAGAATTGGTGCTCAATAAATGCACAGCAACTTGCAGTAGCTCCAATGCCACCTTGTAGAAACCCCGGGGCTGCCTGTGCAGTACCCAGCTCCCACTCCTCAGCCCCAACCCCTACAATCCTGCCACCCACCCGAGGTGCAGGCCACGACCTTGTCCACGCCATGGGCCTTCATGGCCGCCACAATGTTCTGGGCACCCTCGGACATCATTGTGGTAGGACCTTAGAGGAGACAGAGAGTGGCTGTCACTGGTGGGGGGCGGCGGTGGCAGGGGTGGCAGGGGAGGGGCTGGGGNAAGTCGTGTCCGACTCTTTGTGACCCCATGGACTGTAGCCCACCAGGAGCCTCTGTCCATGGGGTTCTTCAGGCAATAATACTGGAGTGGGTTGCCATGCCCTCCTCCAGGGGATCTTCCCGACCTAGGGATCGAACCCGTATCTCTTAAATCTCCTGCATTGGCAGGTAAGTTCTTTACAACTAGTGCCATCTGAGAAGCCCTGAGTCCTGTCTTAGTGGTCATTTATTTTGAATATTGTTTTGGCATGTGACCTCCCAAAGGAATTTTGGATAACTCCGTGTTCCTTGGCCCCACCATCACACAAACAAATACTCCTTTTTTAAAGTTTATAACCAACAGGGACTTGCCTAGTGGTCCAGTGGCTAAGACTCCGTGCTCCCACTGCAGGCACCTGGGTTCAGTTCCTGGTCAAGGAACTAGATCCCAGGTGAGGCAGCTAAGAGTTCACATGCCCCAACTAAGACCTGGTACAATCAAATAAATAAATAAGTTTTTTTAAAAATCAAGTTTACCAGCAACATATTTCTTTATTTGCTTTAGACAATGGCAAAATATATTAATGTTTATGCATACTGAAAACAAACAGTAGTTGTAGTCTCTGTCATGGGCTGAATGCTTGTGTCATATGCTGAAACCCTAACTCCCAGTGGAATGGTGTTTGGAGATGCAGCCTTTGGGAGGTAATTAGGTTTAGATGAGGTCATCAAGGTAGATAGAGAGTAGGGTCCCCATAATGAGATTAGTGTCCTAAGAAGAGGAAGGGGCTTCCGTGGTGGCTCGGTGGTAAAGAATCTGCCTGCAATGCAGGAGCGACAGGTTCCATCCCTGGGTCAGGAAGATCTCCTGGAGGAGGGCATGGCAACCGCCTCCAGTATTCTCGCCTGGAGAATCCCATGGACAGAGGAGCCTGGCAAGCTGCAGTCCATGGGGTCGCACAGAGTCAGAGATGACTGAAGCAACTTAGCATGCTTGCACGCAAGAAGAGGAAGACCAAGGTACTCTCTCTCTACAGTGTGAGGACACAGCATGAAGGCAGCCATCTGCAAGCCAGGAAGCAGGCCCTCACTAGAAACCAGACCAGTTGGTACCTTGATCTTGACCTTCCCAGTCTCTGGAACTCTGAGAAATGAGTGTTGATTAAGCCACTTGGTCTCTGGTATTTTTGTTATAGCAGCCTGAGCTGATTAACACAGCCTCTAAATAGCATTCTCGTGAAAAATGAACCAGAGCTCCTTGAAGAAATGGCTGCTTGCTGGGCCCGGGCAGGGAGAAGACAAGACGAGCCTGGAACATCTTGTACCACCAGCTATGTGAGGTTTAAAGAATGGTGAAGTGAGGTCAAGAGGACACAGAAGCCACTTGAAGGGGTTCTCAGGACCAATCAGGGGCAATTTGATTTGTCCCAAAGAATACAGATGGCAAAGAATGGAAGCACATCAAATATATAAAAATATGTGAATTCATAATGATAACTAAGAAAGTTCATTGGTCATCACTGGTAGCTATCAGAGGATTAACCTATTGTTCTGAAAATGATAAAGGAAAAGCAAAACCACAAAATTGTCCCAGTTTCCTTGATACTTGTCATCATATATTTAAAAAACAAATAATTAAAAATCTGTATACTCTGGGGCAACGATGATAATAGTGATACTTAGTGGCTTCCCTGGTGGCTCAGTGGTAAAGAATCCGCCTGCCAATGCAGGAGACATGGGTTTCCCTGATCCGGGAAGATCCCACATGCTCTGAAGCAAGCAAGTCCATGTGCCACAACTACTGAGCCTGTGCTCTAGAGCTAGGGAGCCACAACTGCTGAGCCCCGGCGCCGCAATGACTGAAGCCTGCACGCTCTGGAGCTGGTGCTCTGCGACAAGAGAAGCCGCCTCAATGAGAAGCCCACTCACAGCAACTAGAGAGTAGCGCCCTCTTGCCACAACGAGAGGGGAAAAAAAAGTCATTGGAGCAACGGAGATCCAGTGCAGTCAAAAATAAACAAAATTTAAAAATAAAGATACATAATATTTATAGAGCACTCACTATATGCCAGGTGCCAAGTACTTTATATTTATTAGCTTATCTAATTGTCAAAGCAACCCGGATTTTGAATTCTATCTGTCCCTATCACTAGCTAGCTGCATGACAATGGGCAGGCCACTTAACCTGTCCAGCCTTAGAGCCTTCATTTGTAAAATGACACCAATAATAGTCTCTGCCTTATAGGGTTGATGTAGGTTTAAATAGTATTCCTAAAAGTTTAAAGTGGTTGGTTGATTTTTGACAAGGGTGCCAAGACAATTAATTCAATGGGAAATGAAGAGTCTTTTCAACAAATGGTGCGGGGACAACTGGATATCCATATGTAAAAGAAAAAAGTTGGATCCCTACCTCACATCATATATGAAAATTAGCTCAAAACTAAAGATCTAAAGGTAGGAGCTAAAACTGCAGTCCATGGGGTCGCAAAGAGTCGGACACGACTGAGTGACTGAACTGAACTGAAAACTATAAAAATCCTAGAAGGAAAGTGAAGTTGCTCAGTCATGTCAGACTCTTTGCGACCTCATGGACTGTAGCCCATCAGGCTCCTCTATCCATGGAATTTTGTAGGCAAGAGTACTGGAGTGGGTTGCCATTTCCTTTTCCTTTTCCTAGAAGGAAACACAAGCATAAATCTCTGTGCCATTTGATTAGGCAGTGGTTTCCTAGCAGTGACACGAAAACCACAAGTGACAAAAGGGAAAACAGATTCACTGGACATCATCAAAATGAAAAATAAAAACTGGTGAAAAAATGAAAAATGAAATGGAAAAAAAAAAGCTTCCAAGGACACTATCAAGAAAGTGAAAAGACAACCCACAGAATGGGATAAAACTTTTGCAAATCATATATCTGATGAGAGACTTGTATTTAGAATACATAAAGAACTCTTACAACTTGATAGTAAAAGATGAATATTAAAAACTGAGCAAAAGATCTGAATAGACATTTCTCCAAAGAAGATAGACAAATGGCCAATAAACGTATGAAAAGATACTCAATATCATACAAATCAAAACCATAGTGAGATACTATTTCATACCCACCAGGAGGACTATAATCAAAAACACACAATGACTGTCGGCGTGCCTGTAGGGAAATTGAAACCTTCATACACTGCTGATGATGTTGAATGATGCAGTTGCTTTGGAAGACAATCTGGCAGTTCCTCAGGTTAAACGTATTGTTACCCCTGTGATCAGTTGTGTCCAACTCTTTGTGACCCCATGGACTGTAGCCCATCAGGCTCCTCTATCCATGGAATTTTGTAGGCAAGAGTACTGGAGTGGGTTGCCATTTCCTTTTCCTTTTCCTAGAAGGAAACACAAGCATAAATCTCTGTGCCATTTGATTAGGCAGTGGTTTCCTAGCAGTGACACGAAAACCACAAGTGACAAAAGGGAAAACAGATTCACTGGACATCATCAAAATGAAAAATAAAAACTGGTGAAAAAATGAAAAATGAAATGGAAAAAAAAAAGCTTCCAAGGACACTATCAAGAAAGTGAAAAGACAACCCACAGAATGGGA